GATTGCATCTTGCCTTTGGCTTGGCATTGTATCTCTGTATCCTCTAGCCTACCAGAGGTCCCTTTGATAAGAAATTTAATTTAATTATGAGGTCATTGTCTCTTATGTTCAAGAACTTTTAAGAACACCTCTCTACTGCTGAATAATCTAAATCATTAAATAACCCAAGAAAACAAATGTCTTTTTTTAATTGAAATTTTAATGAAAGTTTATAGAGACTTTGCATTTCCATTCATTCATTGTTGCACATTTTTCTCCCTGCCCTCCCCCCCAGTTGGTTTTTCTCTTTGAAAATACTTTCATTATTATACAACCCACCTACCCTCCCCCAATCCTCTCCACCATGCAGCTCTTATTCTGTACTCTTGTCATGCAAAGAATACCGAATTGTATATTCCTTTCAAACGGTTCTCTCCAAATAAGTCTGTCTTGGAGAGGGTGAAACCAAGTCTCTCCTTGGAGGTTAGGATTTTTTTTTTTAATGGAACACTTCTTGCTGATCTTCTCTGTATTGTTCCGATTTTAGTATATGTGCTGCCAAAGCGAGCACGGAGGCTAGGATTTTGAAGCTCTGCCTCACTTATTTACAGAGAAGGTTTGTAGTTGCCTATGCCTGGACAGTTTGAGAGAAATTAGCATTGACTGGCTCAGGACAGGGAAGGGTTCAGAGCTGCTGTACATAGGGTCGCTTACATTGCAGGTGACTCAATGACAAATAAAAACAATAAGATACTATGACAGTTTTGGAAGCAGGAGTGGCATCCACTTCCTAAATAACATGCCTCTGGAAACTCTATGAACTTTGATAAATATAGATAGTTGTAGAGGGACTTCAGACCTTTTGTTCATAAGGTTGCTATGAGTCGTGCTCAACTGGAAAGCAATCAACAACATTATTAAACCATCTGAGTCACCTACAGTTTGAGCTAGACAATTGGAGATAAAAGCTCAACTTGAGGTATAGTATCTTTGTCTCTCTGGTACGATTAAGGAGAGGTAAGAGAGAGATCTCTCTTCTACAAAATCTGTAGCCAACATACAGTTATCAAGTTTGTACCATATGTTCTAGGTTATTTCTTCTGCCATGATTGTTAGTCTGACCTTTTCTGATTTCCTTCATTTTTTTCCTCCCAAGAGGTCTTAAGGATCTTGAGAGAAATAGAAATGATGGAGAAATAGCCTTTTCTAGTTTGCCCAGTTCCTTTATATTTATAGTTATTTGCTGGATGAGATTTATAAAAAGTACAGGAGGTAGCAACGGCTACTTGACAACATCTTAATACTTCTGTTAATATCTCAGTCCTCTGTTGTCCATAGTAGGATCTGTTCTGGCTTCTTTACTCTTTAGATTATTGGAAAATAAAGATACAGTTAGTTTGTATCTGTAGTATAAAAACTACAAATTATTTCTTTAGAGAGAATTAGTTATAGTGACCTCACAGAAACAAGAATTGAAAGCTTTAAAGAGCAGATGAAGACCAAGGAGAAAGGATAGAAAGCAGAAAAACAAATTGGGTGATTTGGAGAGTATGACTGGTATGAACAACTGCAGTGATGTTTGCCTCTCTGCTGGGACTACAGAGAGGCCAGGCATTTGCCCAAGAGTGGGATTTTGGAGGGAACATGTAAGAGGAAGCAAAGACTTGAGTAAATGGTTAGTAGCCTTGGGATACACAGTTTAATAAAAATTTAATCCTAACCCTTTATTATTCTTCTGCTGAGATTAATGGCAAATTGAGAAAATACAGTTATTATATAATGAAAATGATATTACTGTAATAAAAAGTGGGAGAGGGATGTGAAAAGACTGTTCACAAAAAAGTTATGAATGATAAAGTAATGCATGAAAAAAGTCTAGTTGGCAAGGAAGTTCAGTGGAACATAGTTGACTCTGACACCATCTGCATCATTTTCCATTTTATTCCCAATTCCTAGCACATAGTAGATAGACTTAGATGTTTGTTGAATAAATAAAACAGATGACAATAAGATACCTTTTTTAATTTTTAAAACCTTGGGGCTAAATCTTTAAAAAAACTTTTTGTGAAAATAGTATGGCTTAAGGGTCTTCTCGAGCCCTGTTAATGGGGTTAGCCTTTAACACAGTCGTTCTGAGAAACATTTTAGAGATAAATACGTTAAAATGGAATCACATCTACCCTTTTAACATTTCTACATCTAGAAATTTATTTCAAGATCAAATAGAATGTTTACATGAAGAAAGTGGGAGGGAGGGATGGGCAATTATGGTCAAAATGTTAACAGTTGTGACAGTGGGCTTAAACATAGCAAAGGTTAGGAGGACCTGGCACTGTTTCTAGTGTACATAGGGCTGTGGTTTGGAACTGACTGGATGGTATGTAAGAACTAGAACAAATGAAGGGTGTATGATAATGAGGATGCTCTTTATACTTTTTTGTAGCTTTGAAATTTTTAAAAATAAAAGATGGAAGAAAAAGAGTAAGTATTTTTTAGCATTGGGTCTTTCTCTAAAACGATCCCTTCCTGAGGTCTTAATGTATTGTGCTTATGCCTAAACTTCCATCTCAAAACGCACATTGATTGTACAATCTCTTTTGCTCTTCCTAGAAGGTTACCCTTTATTACATTTGAAAAAGCTATATTGCAGTACCGTGCTGTCTTATGAGGACACCGATTTAGCATGCTAAAGTGTCCATTTTCCATAGGCAGTTAATGGGTGCCCCAGATTTACCTTAAATAAGATTTAGTATTTATTAGGTGTGCACAAAACATATGTGATATGTGCTAGGCACCAGAGGAGAACAAGAAAATTCACCATGTCAAACATTAAACTTGTAGCCAGCCAAACTGTGGCAGAAGGAGTGCTGTAATACATCGAAGTAAACAAACTGATTAGTAAAATGTAACAGAGACCAGATGTAAACTCCATGAAGCCAGGAAAAGATTTTAATAGTTAACAATTTCAATTAAATAGGGGGGGAAAATCACTAAGAAGAGTTTTAAGTATCACATACTTTTGTAAAAGGATGGATAATATTCCATGCAGTTACTGCCTCTGAAAACCTGCTGAAGGGTCAGCTATAGTTTGGTTCCAACTCAGTGGTACACAACAACAACAAACAAGGTGACATAGATCTTAAAATGGTGAAGCTAGATTTCAGAGCCAGTTAAAAACAGACAAATCCTTCAATCTGCCAGCCTCACTTAGAGAATATATTTCACAGAACTAAGAGCACAGCTGTGAGGTACAAGGATGTTACTTGTATTACTGGTTTTAGTAATCAGTTTAGCTCTGAGTTTCCTGGCAGCTTTATTAAAAGTCAGTTTCTATGACTATTGGATTATATAGAAAGCATTTTTTTGGTGGCAGTCTTTAATTTCTTTGTATCTATTTTTGCAGATATACTGTACAAGTGGTTTTTGAATGATTAGTGCTGTTAAATATGTAAAATTTGATCAACTGTAAAGAAAGTGTTTCTGATCTCTCAGGAGTGGAATTTAGGAAATTGTCAGTTTATGGGTCCTTTTGTAGACTCCATTAGCAGCAGATGACTGTTGGCAACACCATAGCACAGGAGGTCTCTTTGAAATTTGATTGTTAGTGACAATTATTAATTAGTTTAAGTGTTCTGGAGGGTAATAGGTTCTTGGTTTTATTCTCTAGTTAACTGTTCTACAGTGTTCATTAAAGAAAAATTTAAATTTTTCTTACGGTTCAGGGTGATACTAGGTACTAGGGAGGCCAGAGAAAACAAATGCTATTTCCATATCTTGCAATAGCATTTATTTTTTGTCTTTGCTATTTGCACAATACTAAGTTGTGTAAATCAGGAAGTTTTCTCTTTGGATACCTTTTACTTTCACTATTTTTTCACCACTGATATAGTCCTTAAGAAAATGTAAGGTTTGCTGCCCATTCTAATTTTAGAACTTCAGTTTCCCTGAGTCTTAATTTAATTTTCTAGTTTTTATTTATGACTCTTCAGGCTAGAATTTTTCCACAAATACAGGGTATATTTTGATTTTCCCGTTATCCGAGGATATTTTCCCTTCATAGGGTATAACAAGATCTTCCCCTCCCCCCCTATAAAAAGCAAAACAAAGTCTGGGACAGATAGTTGAGCTCTAGAAAAAGATGTTGCAGAGTTTCTAGTAATCTCTCAGCCCAGATCTGACAGTCCGTTTTATTATAGTCTGTTTAACCTAATCTCTGCTACTTCAGATAAACTTAAATAAGCTATGTCCCTTGGTTTGTTTTTAGTGAAAGTTGAACATGCCGTCCTAGTTGTAGAAATCACATCCACTTTTTTCTCCCTACCCCACAGCTTCTTCAGTACAACTACTGTTACTACCAACTACTGTTACTAACCCAAGGTAATTTTAGACACTGTTGCTGAAAGCCTCAATTTTGCCATTTAATGAGGTGTTAATTGAAATATTGATATATTTAGAGCAGAAATGTCATTTTTTAGGGAATCTAGAGAAACAGCAAAGCTGAGGTCAAACTGCCATAAGGATGGACCCCAAGGAAGCTGTGTTTGGGACAAAAAGAAATCAAGATAAGGTAGATGCAAAGTAGAGAAGAGTCACTGGACTCGGGGGGAAGGGGTGGTAGCGGGAATGGGTTGTATTGCCTCTGATGGCAAAGAATAGTTTAGATGACTGAAGAGGAAGCTGGGAAAGGCTTGTAGGAAACACTGAGCTTTGGGTTTAAGTATGACCTTCTTCTGAATGTATATATTTTTGCTGACTTTAACTAGCAGAGCATGTTAAAAACTGGTAAGGCCAAATGTTTTGATGGGGGTGGGTCCTAATATTCTAGGCTAGTGTTTCCTCTCTAGATGGTCATGCAAGGAAGAAATATTGGTTGTGATAAAACCATTGCCCAAACCCAACTGTAGCACTTGGCTGTAGAGATTGAAGCATTAACTTGGAACAACAACAACAAAAAAATCAGTACAGAAAATGTAATCTTTCCTTTTCCTTTTGTGATGTAAAGACTCTGTTTTCTTTCATAGCAACATGAACCTTGAAGACCGGAATGTGCTTCGTATGAAAGAACGGGAAAGGCGGAATCAGGAAGTTCAGCAGGGCGAGGACGCCTTCCCTCCCAGCTCTCCTCTCTTTGCTGAGCCATACAAAGTTGTAAGTTGTCCTTTGTGAGTTTTTTCCATCCCACTAACATGGTCTTACTCATATAATGCCTTATCCTTTGAGTTTCTCTTGTTGTTATGTGCCATCGAGTCGCCTGCAACTCATAGTGACCTTATGTACAACAGCCCTCAACCCTGCTTTATCCTGTGCCAACCTCATTGTCTCTGATACACCTACTCCCACTACCCCGATCACTGAATTGATCGATCTCATCGAAGGTTTTCCTTTCCTGAGCTGTCCCTTCACTCTCCCAAACATGGTATCCCTCTCCAAGGACCAATCCCTCCTTACAACATGCCCAAAGTATGTCAGATGGAGCTTCAGAATCCTTGACTCCAAGGAGCAGCCCAGCTTCACCTTCTCCAGGACGAACCTATTTGTTCTCCTAGCAGACCATGATATCTTCAACACTCTTCTTCAGCAGCACAGCTCAAAGGCATCCCTAGTCACTGTCCAGCTTTCTCATGCATAGCATGCAATTACAGAGACTATAGGATTTTCTACTAGACAAGAAATACTATGATAAGTAACTTACAGTTTTCTCTGTTTTTGTAAATATTTTTTTTCCTGGTATAAATTTCATGCATGCAGAAATGTATTCAAATTAAAGTGTTATGACTCAGGACTTTCAATGCATAAAAACATACAATCAATACTCAGTCATGAAACAGAGCATTCCCAGCACCCTAGAAACCCCTCTTTCCCTCCCTTTGCTCTCTTGAACTTTTAAAAGGGTGGGCTGGATTGGTATTCATCTTGATTCAGTGCTCAGTAACCACCACTAAGCTTGGACAAATTGTCATCTTTCTGAGCCTTGGATTAAATTAAATTTTTTCTAAATCACTGTGAATTATTTAATATTCCCAAATACTCTTTGGATATAACATCAATCAAAGGTGACTGTATCCTAGATGCTTTTGTTGCTTCATATTTCTTGACCATTGCTTACAAAGTTTACTATTTCTCTTTAGTGTGGTTTTTTGTTGTTGTTGTTGTTACCAAAAACTAAATTCTCTGATTTTCCTTCTGACAAGTTTAATTCTTAACTGACAATATCAAATTTATAGTAAAAGTACATTGCCAGAAGTGTTTTAATAAACTGAATAATTGCAATTTTTATTACTGCTGTTTACTTAATTTGGGGTTACACTTAACACTGACTGTTACTACTTCTAATAACTGTCAGTGTAGTTTGGTGGCTGTAGATGCCTCTATGCCCAGTTTAGCTTTGAATTTTATTTGAATTGTTTTCCTTACATTTTAAAAGGCTTATATTGCATTTAATGAGCTCTGGTGACCTGGTGGTAAAAAGCTGCACTGCAATCCTAAAAGCACAGGATCAAATCCACCAGCTTCTCTGCAGAAAGATGGGCAGTCTCCTCTCATGGGATGACCCACCTCTGAAAACCCAGTGAAGGCATCAAGAACATGTTGCTGTATAGTAGCAATATTTTATGTTTTAGCAGTAATGACCACCATTAATTTATAGTATGAAGTTGATACAGTTGTTTTTTTCTAAAGAAATATTAAAAGTACAATATATCTTTCGTTTTACTCTGTAACATTTGATGTTTATCATTCACCCTCTTGATGTGGAGTCTAAACTGACTCATAGCTGACTTTCCAGCAGTTTTTCAGAGGCATATTTCATGGAAAGAGATTGTCCATTTTTCTCCAAGTTTGGTGTTTATAGAAATCATTTGGTATTATGAGATCTATAAAAGCCACTTAATGCAGAACGCTTTAAGGATTTTCCTATTCGAAGGCAGTAAGGCTAACATCATTTTTGCAAGTATAACACAAAACCTATGTTAGAGATTGTTTTAGTTTTCAAGTGCTACTACAACACAGCACAAGTGGATGATTTTAACAAACAAAAATTTATTTTCTCACAGTTGAGCATCAAAGTCCAGTTTGAGGATATTGGCACTAGGGCAAGGCCCTTTTCTCTCTCGTCTCTGGAGGGAATTCCTTGTTCCTTGGTTATCTTCATGTGATGTGGCATCTATCTTTCAATAGTTTCAGTGTCTGTTTTATATTAAAGAGATTGTATTAAGGCATATCCCACACTAATAGTGTCTTGTAACAAAATTCATTCCCAAGTGGGATTATAACTGTAGGTGTTAACAGGTTAAGATATAGTTATAGAGGTTAGGATTTACAACAGATATTTCCTGGGGGACAATGTTCAATCCAGAATGGGGATTAAAAGACATGTTTTTAAAAAGTTTTGTCCAAAATCTCAACTCATAATTTATTTTGTAATTACATTCTAACTAATGTCAGATTTTATTCTGATCTTAATACTATCTATAAATGACTGTGTGTTTGTCGCTCTTGTTTACTAGATTTTAAAATAATCAGTTTTATTGATTTATGCCAATCTCAAAATAAATAATGGTCATTCAGTCTGAATTCTGTATTTAAAAGAAACTTACTTCAATGTATATGAATACCAGGTTCTAGAATTACTAACAGTCTTAATTTTTTAAATTATGAGACCAGGCTCCAAGGATTCTGAAACTCCGTCTTACATACTTTGGACATATTACAGGGAGGGACCAGTCCTTGGAGAGGGACGTCATGCTTGGAAGAATGGAGGGACAGCACTAGAGAGGAAGACCCTTGATGAAATGGATTGATTTAGTCACTGGGGTAATGGGGATGGGTGTGTTGGAGACAATAAGATTGGCAAGGGATAGAGCAGGGTTTAGGGCTGTTGTACATAGGATTGCTATGAGTTGCAGGCTACTTGACGGCACATAACAACAACATTGTTGACCCTTAGTGACCCTGTGAACAATAGATTTGAACCTTGTCCTATCCTGTGCCATCGCCACAATCTCTGACATAGTTAGGCCTATAGCTGCGGTTATTGTGTCATTACATCTGATTGAGGGTCTTCTCTTTAACTGACCTTCTACCCTGTG